CTTACGAGTTGGCTTCCACCAGCATCATGCTGTGCCTGGATGTTGCCAAGGCTGCAGACGCGGGCTGACTTTATCAGTTCCACCTACCTCTCACACTCTTGATTTGCACTCTCGGTTTTCAGCATTTTATGCTGAACATCCTCTGTGCTTTTTTCAGCATTGGCCATTTTTTCCTGTAGTGATGCATTCTCCATCTTAAGATCGCTGATCTCACTAATCGTTAATGCTTTATAGCTTATTCAAAAAAAAAAAGTCTTTGTCATATAAAAGACAAATACAGAGCTGACCAGTTTACATTTATACACTTTGGTAAAACATATTCATGCATATACAGGTAAGAATTCAGTGTTTTGAGGTAACTACTAATAACGTAGCACTTTCGTACATTCAAAAAAAAAAATCGATTCCCAGCACTACAGAAACAAAGAGAAAAAAGCAACTGACTATTATGTGAAAGTACACACACAGAGCTGAAGAAAAATCAACTTCCATACATGAGTACTACTTCATGACAAAACAAATCCACAATACACAATCTCTGGATCTACCATCATATAAGTTATGGTTGCAAAGGGAAGATGGGAAAATGCTTCTGTCACTCTTCATAAAACTGGTTGAATAAACATACAATTAAATTTGTAATAAGTGTTATAAAGATGACAGAATAGTAGTGGTTTTGCACCCATGGCGCCAGTGTTGTTTTTCTTTTCAGACAAAAGATGTTAATATGTGAGTAGTTTTTCTTCTAAAATCAACATTCAGTTTTAATTGCAGTGCTGGCAACACTGTGTGATAAGTAAGTGGGATTTGGGCTGCAGTGTGGGCACTTGTCTCTAAAAGGTTTGTCGTCACTGGAATAGAGGAATCTGTGTGCTGGGTGGTGATTGGAAAAAGGCCTTTTGGAGAAAATGATCCTTAACCTGAGTGGTGATGGGTAAAGTTAGCCAGGCAGTTAGCAGAAGGGAATTCAGAGGACAAAAATGACAGGCACTCAGGGGCAGTCAAAATGAAGTCCATTAAGAGGTGAGACTACAGCCTAATGAGACAAAGGCAAGAGAAGCCAGAGGCACAGGGCAGATCATCAGAGCAGGGGACGATCGCCACAGAATAAAGGAGAACTGAGCAAAGTATCTGAGGTAATGGGACTACTCCAGAGACAGAGGGAAGGACTGTGGAAGTGGAGCAGACAGGAAGAAGATCAATAGGAAGATAATGTCAGCCCTGTAGGCCACAAGAAAGGACTCAACTAAAGCGGTGGCAATAGACAGAAGGATGCGAGAGCTCTTTTGCAGGCAGAACAGGAAAATGTTGCACGGAGGAGAAAAAATGATCAAGGGCCAGTCTAAATTTCTAGAATGAGAAGGTGGGAAGGTAAAGACGTCACTGACTTTGATAAAAATGATCAAAAAACAATGAGTTACTTTGGACAGGCTAGTGTTAGGTTACAATGAGACAGCTACTTGCAGATACTGAGAAAGTAGGCTAAAAAGAAAGGTATGCTTTACAGAGGAAAATTTGATGCTGTTAGCATAATGACAGTGAAATTATACAATGGAAAAAAATATGTGGAAGCACTATTCTATTTTTCAAACCAGTGAAAATGAAAATCCCTTTAGAGGACAGAGATTAGCACTGAGTATATATGTACATATAATTTCTGTTTCTGTTGAGGCATTCATTGTAAGTGAAATATAATGAAATTACCTTTCCGCCAAAATAATATTATCAGGGGGAACAGAGTACTAGCGTACTATTCTATGAACAGGTGTCAGGAACTGGTTATCCACAGGGAAAACCAGAAACAGATTTAATCACTCTGTTTACATAAATCAGTTTCAGATGGAAAAAATGAACAGCGAAAGTTTCAGAAGAAAAACAGGTGAATATCTTTATGCTCTTAGGATAAAAAACTAGTGCTTATATGAGAAAAAGATACACTATATAAATTTAACCACATTAAAATAATTTATACCCATAAAAGAAACCATAAAGAAAATAAAAAGACAAGCCACACCACAAGAGAAGGTAGTCACAATCCATAAACTGGTCAATTAGTCATAACATAAAATCTTTTTACACTTACTACACTGTTAAACTTAAAAGATCTTATGCTTTGGTGAGGGGTGAACTAGTGAGAGAAAGAACCGCAAAACCCAAACAAGTGATACATAAATTGTGGTACATTCATACAATGAAATCTTCATAATAGCGACCATGAGCAAACAATAGTTTGGTAACAGTGCGATTTGAGTCTACAAAAATGTAGAGTGAAAAGGCAAGTCCCAGAAAATAGTATGATGACATTTTCTGGTGACACTCAGAAAGAAGAGAAATTAAATAATGTAGTACTTATCCAGGAACAATGTGAGAAAACAATAATTGAAGGCTTCAAAATAATGTTGTTCAGGGACGGTACTGAGAATTCAGACACAGGTATCAAATTGTTGAATTTTTGACTAATTGTATTCTTTTTTTTTTCTTGACTAATTGTATTCTATGAGTTCCTGTGTGTTGATTTTATGTTTATGCTTTAAAATTTATATACAGAATTGTACATAATATTGTATCTACTGACTATACTAAAAACCTTCTTCCTCAAATGATCTTTTCTTTTTTTGCAGAACCGGGGATTGAACTCAGTCCCTTGCACTTGCCAGGGAAGTGCTTATTCTACTGAGCCATCTCCTTGGTTCCCCTCAAATGATCTTAAATAAAAAATATTAACCCTAATAATATTCAGTGTTACATGCAGAAATATTTTATTTTATTTTCCGAACTGGGGATTGAACTCAGGCCCTTGCGCTTGCCAGGGAAGTGCTTATTCCACTAAGCCATCCCCCCGGCCCTAATATTTTATATTTTGCAATTAAATCTCTTTAAAAAAAAAAAAAAGAGAAAGAGAGAAAACAACAAATAGATAGGACAGGAGTTGAGCAAGTAGATGAAGAATCAAATTTTTCTTTAGTAATAATTTTAGGAATGAATAATCTAGACAGCCGCAGAAGGTGGTGAAAGGAAAAGATTTTATTTTTTTTAATTTTTATTTATTTATTTATTTTTTAAATTTTATTTATTTGTGTGTGTATGTGTGTGTGTGGCCAGCTCAGCCCACCAGGGGGCGGGGCTGGCTGGCATGTGGTGCTGGGGATTGAACCGCGGTCCCTGTGCTTTGCTAAGCTTGTTCAAAGTAGGTGCTTTAGACCACTGAGCCATCTCACCAGCCCCAGGAAAAGATTTTACTATGCATTTTAAAAATGACTGCACAGGGGCCAGGAAGATAGCTCAGTAGAATAAGTGCTTGCCTGACAAGTGCAAGGACCTGAGTTCAATCCCTGGTTCCACCAAAAAAAAAAAAAAGAGAGACTGCACAGTAACATGTACTCAGACTAATTGGAAAAATTTGAGTAGAAACCTTGAAAATCAGAGGAGATAAAGAATACATCACAGAAATAGTCAATGAATGTTAAAGGACAAAGAAACTAATTGGTAGAATGAATATAAATGTGGGAGTTTATAAGTTTGGTGGTGAGATAAAAGCTTTTCAATTCTTTTTTTTTTTTTTTTTAATTTAATTATTTATGTGTGTGGCCAGCTCAGCCCACCAGGGGGCGGGGCTGGCTGGCATGTGGTGCTGGGGGATTGAACCGCGGTCCCTGGGCTTTGCTAAGCTTGTTCTAAGTAGGTGCTTCAAACCACTGAGCCATCCTACCAGCCCTAGCTTTTCAATTCTTTAAGCAAAATGATGACATCAGGAAAGAACTGCCAAGGGCTGGGGAGATGGCTCAGTAGAATAAGTACTTCCCTGGCAAGCACAAGGTCCTGAGTTCAATCCCTGGTTGGGGGGGGGAGGGGACCTGCCAGGTCTACAAATGTGTACAATTTGAATCGGAAGCAGGAAATGGAAATGACTATATAAATAGGTAAAACTGCCAGGTTCTACTAAATGCCCATTTACAGCTGTTACTTATGGAATTTGTTTGTACTGGGAATTGAACTCAGGCTTGTCAGATAGGTGCTGTGCTGCTGAGCTGGATCACCAGCCTTCATTATAGAATTTATTATTGTTATTATTATTATTATTTTTGGAGACAGGGTCTCACTGTGCAGTCTGGGCTGGCCTTGTGCTCACTTCTGTCGCCCAAAGGCTGGTCTCGAACTTGCAGAGATCCTTCTGGCTCAGCCTCCTGGGTGCTGGGGTTACAGGAGTGCACCCCCACGCCCAGTTCTAGGGCTGCCCGGAGGGCGCCTGCATCCGGGGCCAACAAGGCGTGCCTGGGAATGTCCAGGCCTAGACTGCGCCCTGGCATGGCACGTGGGGCTGGGGATCGAACTTGGCTCCTTGTGCTTGCCTGGTGGGTAGGTGCTTACGCCTCTGAGCTATCTCTCTGGCCCCCACTGTAGAAGTCGAAGTAAGGCTGGGGAGATAGCTCAGCGGCCTAAGTGCCTGCCTGGCAAGCACAAGGTCCTGAGTTCAATCACTGGCACCAAAAAGGAAATAAAGTAATACCAGTCGTCCTTCCCATAATCGCTTTGCTCACACATTTCTGTAGGAGAAATACTTTTCCTGGCTTGAGTTGATTTAGGGTGGATGCTTCCGAGATAAATACCTTTCAAATGCAGCAGTGACATCTCCGAGGTGTTGCACAGTACTATTATACTTTTCTTGCAAAGTCAGGGTAGCCTGAATGTGAGCAGTATGATTCTTCTCCAGTTCAGCTTCTTTCCTTTAAAAAAAAAAAAAACCAACCATGCAAATCAGAAGGTAAATTACTACAAATTATCACTGTAAGAAAGTCAGGGGGCCGGGGAGATGGCTCAGTAGAATAAGTGTTGCTTGGCAAGCGCAAGGCTCTGAGTTCAATCCCCAGGCCCGCCAGAAAAAAAAAAGAAAAAAAGTCAATACAGACATATTCATCTCTGCATTAACTGCTGCGTTTTTTAGACCTAACTCTCAGAGAGCATGTTTACTTTTTAATGTAGTAATTTATCTGTTAACTTTATTGTTCTTATTTACTATTGTTTTGTTTTCATCAAAGTTTTATTTATGTAAGTTGTTTCAAAATTTGGAGGAAAAGTAGGCATGGCCTTATACATCTTCTTTTTTTTTTTTTTGTCTTTTTGAGACAGGGTCTCCCTACTCAGTCCGGGCTGGCCTTGAGCTCACTTTGTAGCCCAGGCTGCTCTCGAACTTCAATGATCCTCTGCCTCTACCTTCCAAGTGCTGGGATGACAGGCGTGCCGCCACACCCAGCTAGCATTGTACCTTTAGTCCCACAACTCTGGGAAGCTAAGGCAGGACAGCCCCAAATACGGGCCACACCCAGGTCATTTGCTAGCCTTATGAAACACTGTCTCAAATTTAAAAATTAAAAAACAAAAACAAAACAAACAAAAAACAAGCAAACAAAAGGGTAGAGGTTGAAAAATCAAAGTAGACTTCATGACTCAAATATGTGCCATGGAGAAGGAAGTAGAATATGAAGGAATAAAAGAGTAAGGTGAGAGCTCAGCTTTTTATTCTGAGCGATAAATTTCTTTTTTCTGTTTTGGCTGGCTCAGCCTGCCTTAAGGGCGGGTCTGGTAATGCAGGTGGAGGTGGGGTTCGAACCATGGTATCCTGCGTCTGACTGCATTTGTATGAGCAGGTGCTTAAACAGCTGAGCTAACAGGCAGGCCTCCGATGAGTGATAAATTTCTTGTTTTTGAATGTTTTCTAGTTTTCTCCCCCATCTTGCTTTTTTCCCCCATCTTGGTATTTCTGTCTCTGCTTTTTAAGATAGTCTTGCTATACATATAGTTCAGGCTGGCCTCTCATTAGCAGCAATTGTCTTCTCAGACTCCTGAGTGCTAGGATTACAGGGGCCCTGGGATTACAGGCATGTGCTGCCTATGTCCAGGCTTGATTGCTGGTTTAGGAGTGTTTGTGCTCCCTCAAAAAAAGTATTAACGGTGTAATTTAGATAGCAGATCTTGAGCCGGGCATGTTGGGGCATGCCTGCAATCCCAGTACTCAGGAGGCTGAAGCAGGATTGCTGCAAGTGGGAGACCAGGCTGGGCTACAAAGCGAGCTGAAGCCCAGCCTGAACTGCAGTGAGATCCTTTCGAAAAAGACAGACCACCCCCAAAAAGCCCCTATATGTCTTTTTTTTGTGTGTTCTCAGATTCTTCTGAAATTCCTTGCTCTACTGATGATTCCAAAAATATTTAGAAAATACAAGAGCAGTATAAGAGAGTAAAAGAACAGTAAAAGTTTTGGCCATTTGATTTTTAAAACTTCTTCCACTAAACTTCTGGCCTTACAAAAGAAGGAACCCTTTTCAAATTGACTATCTACATTCTATGCTTGTATTTCCTCTCTAATTCTTGTTTGTTTTTTTTTCCTCTCTAATTCTTACTAGTAAAATAATACCAGTGTTGCAAATTCACATGACTGATATGGAAACCCTAAGAAAATACATTAGAAAAGGCTTTATAACATCTGTAATCACATATAACTAGCCAGTCCTATTAATACGAACTCTTTCAGCTGTTGTTCTACAAGTCTGAGGGCTTCAGCTGTAGTTTTGGTTTCGTCTTCCAACTGCTTGACAAGGTTTTCCAACTGCTCCTCCTTGTGCTGCACTGTATCTAGTTCCTCCAAGGCCAGCTTTAATTCTTCTGCACAGATATTCCTTTCTTTAAGCATTTCCTCTTGGAAAGAAAATAGCTTCTGCTGAAGACTAGAAGATAATTCCTACATCAAAACAATAAAAATAGTTGGAAATGGCATCATGAGGTCTTACTAAGAGATTTTTTTTTGGGGGGGTACCAGGGATTGAACTCAGGACCCTGTGCTTGCCAGGCGGGCGCTTATTCTACTGAGCTATCTCCCCAGCCCTAAGAGATTTAAAAACAGAAGTAGAGATAATGAAGTCTGACAAACTAAATTCAAGATTTTCAAAGAAACATTACAATACATATAATCTCTCTCTTTCTCTCTCTCTCTATATATAGATGCAGATATGTATCTACCTACACACACACACACACACACACACACACACATAACTTTTTTCATCATGTTTTACATCTTAGTGGCAAATATCACTAAAGCTCTTTTCTAAGCAGCATATGTCCTCAATTTTTTTTTTTTTTTTT